AGGTAACGGATTCCAGCAGATGGCACTGGAAGAAGGTTGGAGATGACAGGTGGTGTTTGCAGAGGACTCCTTTGGATTAAATGGTATCCAGAAATGTGTATGCATGATTTCTGCTACAGATATGACCAAATGAGGCAATTGACTTAATGTGAGAATAAGAGAAGGCTAAGAATTATAAAAGAAGACATCTGAAGACAACAGAAGAATCCTGTATCACTGACAGAAATATGGATATATGGAGAATAAAGAATAGATAAATGAATTTGATTTTCTATCTTCTAGAGGTTTTAGGTGACAAGAAATCCAAGTGGCCTGCCTGCTAAGACAACTAAAGATACAGGACTAGACATCAGGTGAGAGACTAGACCTTTGTCATTGCTACCACTCTGGTCTAAGCCTCTGTCACCTGTCCTCTGGATTATTGTTAACAGTCTCCTGCTTCCGCTCTTGATTCCCATTGTCTCTTCTCAAGCTATGGGTCAGCAATCCTTTAAAATGTAAATCAGATTATCTCACTATTCTGCTCAAAACTCTCCAGCAACTTCTCATTTCACTAAGAGCAAAATCCAAATCCTTATCATGCTTTACAAATCCCTACATGATCTGCCACTGTCAACCCCCTTCCTCTCTGCCTGATAGCCTGCTACACCTCCCCTGCTCATCCACGCCACCCACACCAACCTCCTTGCTACTCCTTTGCTCGACCTCAACCTTAGGGCATTAGTAACTACAGTTTTCTCTCTCTCTCAGCCTTGAAAACTAACTCCACATGGCTAACTCTTTTGTATCCTTTGAGATTGTTCAGATTAATGAACTGCTACAAAGGGATCAAAGATAATCAAAAATGAAAGCAAAAAAATCACTATGTTTCTATATCAGCTCTAACCCTGCCCATTTCTTTTAACATTTCCCACCTCAGTAATGGTCTCACTGTCCATTCTGATGCTCAAGGCAAAAGAAACCTGGAAACCACTCTAGACTTCTCACTCTTCCAATTCCCACACAGCCTATTCAACACCAAAAACTGTCAAAATGATCTCTATCATCTGTAGAACACAACCCTTTCTTTCCATTCCCACTGCACCAATCCAAACTTTTTTCATCTCTAAACTAGACTATGAAGTCCACAGCTAAGCTTTTTCACTTTGATCTAACCAGGACTATTTAATGGATTTTTAGATAGATATGACAGAGTGGGATAGGAAGGAAAATGCAAATTAAAGAAGAATAGGATACTTGAAGACTCGAAAAAGAAATTTTACCTTCACTTTCTCTCCTCCTGCTCATGTACTTATTTACATACTTCGAGGTCCAGCTCAAATATTATCTCCACGTATGAAGCTTTTCCTGGTTCTTTCAAGCAAAGTACACACTTCATTTTTTCCTCTTTGCACATACCTCCATTAGAGCACTTACTGTAGCAATTATTTATTCACATAATGGCTGCCCCACAGGACAGAAGCCTAGTCTTATTCTAGCACAGGGCTTAGCACCAAAAATATCTGTTGAATGGACGAATAAAGACTTTTGTATAGAACTGGCAGTTATAAAGATGAAACGTCTAAGTTTGAATAAAAGCAGGCATGCCAAAAGAAAAAAACAGAAATTATCTATATAGTTATCAATAAATAGTACATAAAAATACTAAACTGAAGAAAACCCATGTGGAGAAAAATGTGAAACACACAAGGCATTTCCACAGAGATAAGAGTAATAGATAATAGAGATGCCCATGGAAGTATTTAACAGAGAAATAGATTGTTTAGAATTTAACAGAGAAAAGCAAAGGTGGAAGAAGGGCTAACCCAAAATAGCCCCTAAAAATAAAACATTCTCTCAAATTGGAATATTCAACTAGAAGCAAATTAATTGGGTTCATAAAATGTTAATGGTATGTAGATTATTTTAATTAAGGGGAAGCATTGCATAACTTATTACCAGTCTCCTCTAATTCCATCTCCCCAAAAGATACCCAAACATGCAGAATTCAGTTCTTAGAAAAATGGGCTCTAAGGGGGCCTCTCAAAAACCAGCAAGATTTTATTAATAGAAAGAATAAAGTTATTAAAACTAAAACTCTTATTATTGAACTCAAATGTGGTTTTAATTGTTTTTAATAAAACTACATTTTATAGACTATTAAAAAGAAATGAAGGCCAGGCAAAGTGGCTCATGCTTGTCACCCTAGCACTTCGGAGGCAGAGGCAAGAGGATCACTGGAAGCCAGGAGTTTGAGACCCTTGCCCCTAATTTTTAAAAAAATTATTAGTATCTGGGCATGGTGGCACATGCTTGTAGTCCCAGCTACTCAGGAAGATAAGATTGAAGGATAACTTGAGCCCAGCAATTTAAGGTTACAGTGAGCTATGATCACATCACTGCACTCCCACTTGGGTGACAGAGCAAGATCCTGTCTCTTAAGTAAATAAATAAGCAAACAAATATATAAAAAAAAGAAAGAGCATAGAAAAGCAATTTTTTATAAGTAGGTAGAGTTCTGTGTTTGAGGGAAAATATAAAAATATTTAAAATGCCTATTTCATTCATATTTCGATATAAAATAAATAGCTTACTGATTATAAAATGGCCTAGTCACTTATGCTTTGGCAGGTTTGTGACCAACCAAGGTAACATTAGAGTAGTGCTCTGTAGCTTTTGTTTCACCGATCCCTCAGTCACTAGTGAAAGCTGTGGTCCTGTCCTATAGAAAAGCATGCATATATACAACATATATCCACAATTTAAATATGTCATGGCAATCTAGAGGCCCTGCTAGATAGAAGACTTCCTGGAGATCCAAAGAACTCACTTGTACAACTGCTGCTTTAACAACTAGAAATAGCAAATACATAAGACTCCTCAGAGAAGGAGATAAACTGTTAACAACTCTAGAGCTTTTTTTCTCAGTCATCCAAGCAATCAAGAAACCTTTAATACAAAAATCTCTACTGGCTGAATTTTATCAAGTGATATACACCCATATTGAGCTAAAATGTATGTGTGTGTCTTAAAATAAACTTGAAACATAAAGTGTTTAAAAATAAGATGTAATATTAATAGAAATATTAAGAGCTAGTCATTGAGTATTCACTTTGTACCAAGCATTGTTCTAAGTGTTTTAAATATATTCATATTTATATATGAATGTAAATAATTATCCTCATTTCACAAATGAGGAAATTAAAGCACAGTAAGGTGCAAAGAGAGTCAAGGGACAATGACACAAAACAGAAATAATTAATGCGGTCAAGAGCAAAAAATTCCATTATAGTTTACACCATCTAAAAGCAACTTAGACCTGCATTTGTATTATCACAGCTCTACAAAGCAAGAACATACTGTCCAAATTACAGAATGATGACAATCTTGATCCTTTTCCATATCCCTGCCAAAATATCCTTATAAAACCATATTCACCATGGAGTACCCTGTAACCAGAAATGTGAACATGAAATGTACACAACACTAAAGGATTTAAAAGATGTAAAATGGAAGATTTTGAGGCTAACAAATGTTAGCTTCCCAAATCACTGTCTTTGTATAAGTACCAGCAATAAATCATGCTTAGGAAAAATTAGTCACTTAAGATATAACAAATCTGAAATAGGATATACCTTTTTCTATAAAGAAAGTTCAAGTTCAAACTTTTATCAAAGCTGTGCCTCCTTGGTAATGACCTTGATGCCATGCCTCTCCCACTCCAGGGACAATCACAAAAGTAAAGAAAAACATCACAGGTTCAGCAGGTCTTATTAGATCTCACCAATCAAATGACAAATTTCAGATTCCTTGCATATGCCTGCACTATGCCCTCAACAATGCAGCATACAATAAATATTTGCTGAAGGGTTGAATCTTCTCTAGCATGAAATGGATGTGTTGAAGATATTGTTACATTAACATTTTCTATCTCCTATAACACTACACCACATATTATTATTATAGCATCAAATAATGCAGTAAAACCAATCCTTTATCTTAAACTACATGATCAAAAAGTTATATTAAATGCTTTACCATTTTATTAAGACTACATGCAACAGAAAAAAAAAGGACTAATTTTTTAGATCAGTTTATGCAGCTATTGCATCCAAGATACCACAACAAATTTATCAGAGGATATTCCTTTTTTTAAACAATGATGCTCTTAACATACTATAATTTCTTATAGATTTCTTTCAAATGTTTGATGAAATACAACAAAATCGATTTTTTTCCTTCATATAACCAATAAACTTTTTGAATTAGATATGAGAAAATTAGCTCCATTAAACTGAGGCGGCCTGTTGCTTTAACAAGAATAGTCTAAATTCAGTGAAAGATAAAAATCAAGAAACAAGGAAAAGAAACATATACTCATGCTGAGTGTATGCCACAAAAAGTTCCCCCTGAATTTAATTCAAAAACGGAAATACTTGCTCCGATTTATTGAACTGTTAAAATACCTCACTGTAAACACACACAATTTAAAAATTATACGCAAAACTTCTTGGAAGTGGATATCAATTAGAAGTTAATCTTTATGAAACAAAAAGGCCACTTGGTATATAAAGCACACTGAGCCAAAACTCAGACTAAAATATTCCCTAATATTAAGCAGTATTTTTTTAAGTACAACTTATACTTACTGAATATCGATTTACCAAAACAAGCAAGAACAACCTTATCTTGGCAAAACTCAGTACACTGTTTCTTCAACATCTTAGAAGGCAGCCTGATACACCACATTCTTCCATCTGCTTTATTCTGTATCTTCATACCCCAAATGGAAATTAAACCCTTCTCAAGTAATGGCCAAAATTTCATGAATCATAAGGAAATACAAAAAGCAAAGCATGATATGAGTAACAGAGGTAGACAAAATGATAGATGGGAGAGCCTTGGTAATGACCTTAAAAAAGCAAACAGGAGTTTGCTTGAGACAAAAAATTAAGGCATTGAGACAGAAAATCTATCTAATATGTACAGGAATCACATTAAATAATTCCATTCTCACTTACCTGATGAGCTCTCAGTAAATGCTGTTAATGTCTGTCCTCCAACACTTTGCAAGACAAATGGATGTTCTCTAGGTGTGCTGACTGAAGCTGGTTTTCCACCAATATCATGAATATTTGCGAGATCTTCATTCAAAGTAAATGACACCTAACAAACACATTAACCAGAGCGTGTTACAAAAGACCTTTGTATTCAAAGAAATTGCAAAGAAATTCTGATCATAAATCAAATACTTTTTTAAAAAATGTGAGCCTTTCCCAGTCATTTTACTATAAAAACCCTTAATACTCAAGTCATAAAAAGAGAATCTAAGCTGTGTGGCACACGCCTGTAATCCCAGATATTAGGAGGCTAAGGTAGAAGGACTGCTTGAGCCCAGGAGTTCGAGGCTGCAGTGCGCTATCATCGTGCCTATGAATAGTCATTGCCCACCAGCCTGTGCAACACAGCAAGACTATGTCTCTTAAAAAAAAGAAAAAGAAAGAAAGAAAGAATCTATTCCCAACTGTCAGAATAATGGGGCTAATCTAACATTATAAAGAAGGGCGGCTTTCAAATATCTTCTCTGGTCTGTAGCTGAAGAATTCTTTCCAAAACAGTAATAAAAGTATTTTTTCCAAAGGTCTCTGAAGTCAAGGGATCATGTCTCATTACCCTTTCATCCTTAAGATCTAGAAAAGAGCCTGACACATAGAAGGAAAACAATATTTGTTGAATAAGTGAATATTATAAGAATATTAACAAAGCAATTGTACCTGAAAGGGGAGGAAAGTGAAAAGAAAGCTTTTTACTCTGAAAAGCTTCAGTGATCTCATAAACAGAGGATTTCTTTTGTAAGTCTTAATGAGTACTCTATGAGTACATAGCATACTTTTTTATTTTTGAATATTTTAACAAATACAACTATTTACAAGGATAACTCAATAATAAGGTTTAGAATAAAAAGACATAGTTAAGTATTCTTTCACAATTATTTTTATTACATAGCAGATCTCCCCAAAAGAACATCAAATTTTACATTAAAGAGATTTATAAACATAAAATTACTGATCTCCCAACCACATAGGAGGATCATGAAGCATTTATTAAATATCTCTGTAGTATATGATAGTTACTATAAATTATAAGCTGGACTCAATGGGTCAAAATATGAAGTTCTCAAAAATCAAATACCTGTGCCACACTGAAGTAATAGAAAAGTAAGTTATTACTAAAATATTACTGAAGTCCTACTCAGTTTCACAGTACTGAGACTGAGAGAGGGGATATTTAAATTAAAGAAGAAAAACTTTGAGAATGAACAACTAGAAAAGAGTCCACTCATGGACAAGGGTGGCATTTATACCTTTATGTGTTCCTCACCATCAGCCACTCATTTAATGTGGAGTTTTCCAAAATGCAAACAACACCCTCTCTTTACTATTGCTAAAGAAAAGTAAAATAATCTCGTTTTAACTAAAATTTTCATATAAATAATCTTACCTCAGTTCTTCCTTGATTCCTAAAGGAGAGGAAAGAAAATATTTAAAATTATTTAGAGTCCATGTTGTTTTCAAATGCAAGTTAAGAGCTAAAATAAATAATGCTACTTCATATTTACATAAAATATTACATTTACAGAGATTAATATTTACTCTTGGCTCCCTGCCACTGTCCTATTTGTAATCCTATGGGAAAAATAAACCAACATAATCACTCATGATTATTTTGATATTATGAGTATATGTTACTTAATGCTATTATAATCTATCCTAATTATATTTTGTCTAAATAATGATATTATGATTATCTTTATTTCTGAGCATTTTTAGCATTCAGTGTGTGAATGCCTATTTAATACCAGATCTATATAGTACTTCAGTAAATTTTAGTGTTTATTTTGTCTAATTGAAGGTTTCATTTACCTAACAAAGTCTTAAAGACCAAAAGTTATTAAATTTAACAATTTTTTAAAGCTATAAGCAATTTTTCTCTATTATAAAAATAATATATGCCCATTATATAAATATTTTTAATACAGACAAGCAAAAAAGTTTTAAAACAGCCATAATTACACTGTTGTTAAAATCTTGCTACAGTAAATAGCCTTCCACACTATACTACATTCTATATACCGTATTTGAATTATGTTTTGAAATTTTTTTTTACAAATGTGGAATCAATGCACACGCACACCCTATATAATAGCCTAATTTTTTAAAACACACATATATTTAATACCTACTATCTGCAAAGTACTGAGTGTAAGGTCCCTGTTCCAAACAGCAGAAAGGTACATCCTTTCTGCTGTACATAAAAGGTACATCCATAACTATTAAATAAGTTCTAATGTTCAATTAAGAGAGCCACATTGTGTCAGAATCAGATATGAAGACACCATTTCTTCCATTTTAAGAATTAAGGAATGGTTCAACAAAGAGGTAGCTCTGAGATGAGCTTTGGAGGGTACTAGGATTGTATTAAACTAAGGTGGGGAAATATAGTATCAGAAGTAAATAGCTGGGCCTAAAGACATGGAAGGTTCTGATGAAAAATGAGTGATCAGATTTGGCTGGGAAGGAGAAGCAAACTACAAAGGAGAATTGGAGATAAATCATAGAAGATCTTGAATATCACAGTATAGAAATATAGACTTTATTCTTTAGGCAATGGAGATCCACAGATACTATTTGAACAAAAGAATACCAAGTACAAAGATGTGCTCTAGGAAACTTGCACCAGAAAATACATACAGAATGGACAAAAGCTGACTAGAGATATGAAGACCAGTTAGAAAACCACTGTTTCTCCATAACACAAAGTTTATTTGCAACCTGCCTTCATTCAGTTGCTTAGTCAATCGCTCATTGTATCATTAAGAATTTACTATACATGCACTACACACTATGCTAGGTGCATAATACAATATGCGTGTGGGTCCTTGTCCTCAACAAGGTCCCAGTTTAATGAAAATAGATAGGGCCAATCCACAAACACCTACAAATAAGATAGTTATATCTTGCCATAATGACAAAAACTTTATGGCAGAGGTACAACATATTGTCATATTTAATAGAAATGCAGATTAGAAAGCCAGGAAAAGATGAATTGGGTGAGGGATAAAGTTGATAACCTGGGGGCATTCCAGGCTAAGAGAAAAGTCCAAGTAAAAATGGAAATGAGAATGTATCCAGCACATTCTTTCTGACATCAGTGAATGGCAACCTGGAGTCCAGTGGTAAAGAGTCTCTTAGGCCACACTAAGGAATGCAGATTCTTAGTTTTGGCCACTGTAGGACTTCTCAGTCTTTCATGTATTAAAATGCAACATCAGTCTCCTAATCGTCTAAAAAACAAATGAGAAAATATTAAGGTATCACATAAAAATATGAATTTTCAGCTTCTCTTACAAGAATTGAAGATTTGGCAACAGCTGGCCCCCAATTCAGCATGACAACAATCCCCTGAACATGAATTTGGGACAGGAACTAAATTCACCACGGTCCCTTCCCTATCACTCGAATCTAGCTTCTAGAAGTATTTAATTCAGCTGCCTTTAAGACAGAGGTGCTGTAGACAAAGCAAAGGAAAAAGACACAGAAGATATTTCTATAATGTTTACTGGATTGAACTGAGGCTAATGTAAAACACCCACATAAAAAGTAATGAAGGCTTGAACCAAGTAGTGGTAGAACACGAGGAGGTAAATGTTAGAAGTGAGAGAAGAGGAAATGATTGGAAGTGGGCAGCATAGGAAAAAGGCTGAATTAAAGATCATATTGACATTTCTGAGTAACTAGAAAATCACTGGGATGCAACCTAGGGAACACAGGAGGGGAGAACAACTCCATTTTCACACATATATAATTATAACAGCATCTTAACTGAAATGATAAGTGATTAATGAGCTCTGGATGAGTTAATATTCTAGAAAAAAAAAGTTAATCCTTGAAGACAAAACTTATTTTAAAAGGATGAAATATTCCCTTGTCTTGATGTGTGAATGTATAAAGTACACATGATGTTTTCTTGTTCTGCATTACTATGATAATACACCCTTTGCTTGATGATCTGTGGTCAAAATTATAAATATCAACTATTGTACAATACAGCAATATCTTCAAAAATTAATGACTTAAATATGTGACTATCCTTTCACTGAATTTCTTGTAATGCTGCACACTTTCTCCTTCACTACTCTGAGTCCATTTCTTAACACCTCACAGCTACAGACTCGTTTCATTCCTCTTGCCTTTCAAAATTTTTACTAATCATGTCTTTCCTTTTTCTTACACTGTTTAACTATTAATACTTATTGGATTTGATGTCATTGGGGCCTGACTTTTCACTATCACTTATAGTGAATAAAGGACCACCTTTTCCAGGCTAACAAAATCAACAAAATAATATTAAGTTTTCAACTGCACTTGAGGTTTTTTTGTTGCTTTTGCTTTGTTCTTAATTCCTATTCATATTTCCCCTACCTGAACAATTTGGCTCAAAAACCATTAGGTGAGGCAAAGCAAGGTAGATATCTGCAGAGTGGGTTGGGTAGGACGGTCATAGTCTGAATGAGGTAAAGAGGATGTCTCCTGGCCAAGTTTGTGTCCTGCAGGTTGCAATAGTTCCATGTGAAGCTCATGCTGATTAAGGGGTTCCAGCTGGTATCAAACAATACCCCAGAACAGGGGTCCTAAAACTTTTTAAACAGGGAGCCAGTTCACTGTCCCTCAGATGGTTGGAGGGCCGTTGGAGAGTGCGGCGCACATTCCACACATGCACACTGTGGGCCCGGGAAGAGTCGGCTGCTAAGCAGGACAGGCAGCGGCAGCAAAAACACCCAGCGGGCCAGATAAATGTCCTTGGCGGGCCACAGTTTGAGGATGCCTGCCCCAGAAGTACAGACTGCAAGGAGTTCACTGGACCTGAGTGCCCATGCCTTCCACCTGTAACCCTTCCTCAACACGGGACATGGGAACCCGCAGGCCTCTGTGCCTCAATTCAGCTTGAAGCTGTTATAGAAGATGGACCTTCACCCCTACTCCCACTTCTTGGGGGATGGAGGGGAACGTCAGGTAGGGACCAGGAGGAAGGTGAAACAGGTGTGGACACAACGCGATGTGGTAGAGATAATGTTGCTGGCTGATTAGAGGAGGGTAAGAAACCCACAAACCTAAGAGATGGCAGAAACAAAACAACCTAATGAGCTGGCACTGACCTAAGGTGAACTACCCCCTTATTAGCATAGTAAAAATCACACCCACCCTGTGCTAGGACAGTTTACAAATGCCATGGCAACTCCCAGAAACTACCTTATAAAGCCAGAAAAGAGGAGGGATGGAAATTCCAGGAAACTCTCTACCCCTTTTCTGAAATTCATGAATAATCCACCCCTAGCTTAGCATATTATTAAGAAAATAGGATAAGAAACCAGACCCCTTTCCAAACTAGGGTTGTCTCCACTCGCATAGAGAGACCTGTCCCCTCTCCAGGGCGTTTTATGCTCAATAAATGCTGTTATTAGCTTGCTTATATCTGTTTGGCTTGATCATTTGTTCCATCAACTCAGTACCAGTAACCATTCTTCAGTACCGGTAAGTACTGGGAACCAAGAAACAGGAAAAAACACACCAAATCCAGAATTCACACCTGACATAGCCAGATCAGGAAAGTAGGGTGTAAGAGTGGTTCATTAAGAAGCGTGTCAGGGCCTAGGGGGTGAGGGCACCCACACAGAAGGACAACCTGAGGCAGGCTGCTGGACCCTAGGAGGGTAAGGAGGGAGAGGGGAAGCCCGCACAGGGTACGGAGGGTGACCCTGTGAAGGACAGCAAAAGTGGCAGCTTACTGAGGGGAGCTACAGCCCAAGCAGGGTGAGTAGGGTATTCACACGCAGGGTAGGGAAGGGATTGAACAAATAAGAGCAGAGGCCTGAACAATAAGTAAACATATTAAGTATAACAGGAACCAGATTTCTCACTTTTAGAAAAGAGGTACAAATATGAAAAGGGAGAAAACTAGAACATTTAAATTGGAGCTAAATTGGTATGAATTTATGATTTTCTATATAAGTAGACAGAGAAATAAACACAGATGTAAAGAGTGTGTGTGTGTTTGTGTGTACACATATACTTCCTATCTCTGCTCACTGAGAAGGCCTGGAAGCAGCAATGAGCACTTGGGTTATGAAAATCTTAGTTTCTAAATATCACTCTCCTCTAAAAGGAATCAGGGCTCCTTAGAGAAATGGCTGACTTCAGGGCTCAGGAAGAAATGTGTAACATGAGTTTAAAACATCTATGTCCAAAATTATCAAAGAACGAAAAGGGCATGTCGAAAAGACACAGGACGTATAGTACTGAACTGTGCACTTAAAAATGGTTAAAATGGTAAATTTTATGTGTTTTTATAATTTTTTAAAAAAATGGTCATGGGAGCCAGCTAGAAGTTCCTACTGGCTAAATTTTGGATAATTATAACATCATCATAAACAATATGGTAACAAATTGTGACCCACTGAAT